GTCTGCCAGGACGGGTAGCCTTTAAACAGTGGAGACTCCACCCAAGTAGCATTTTCACGACTTGCGACCACATGTTTACTAAACACAACGTTGGATTAGTTACAAAAAATAGTTAGCTCCCTACCTTGGGTATTAAAATAAATTTAAACGTTTTTATAACGTTGTGCCGACGTTGGACTAGTACTACAGCAAAATAGAAGCTTCTGCGACGTCGAATAAACGTTGTCTTGTAATCTTTTTTACTTAAATGATCTTTAGGTGATTCGGACAACGTAGTTACAACGTTGAACAATATGAGTTTTCCGACGTCAGTTTCAGGACCTTTCCAACGTTATGCAAATGTCGTCTGTTTTACTAATTCCAACGTTGTTTAGATTTCCTTATTCTTACGTTCGTAGGACGTCGAGTCACTACCTTTTTGCAACTGTATTGAACCATAACCTTAAATCTTAAATTTTCACTTCATTGTTCTGTTCAGTCAGACAGTGCAGTGCTGTTTTTGTTTTTATAAAAAAACTTAATTAAAATGGGACATAAGAAAGGTACATATAAAACTAAATTTAAATATACATCGACATACTATATTACCGATGTTTATCCACTCCCTCGTTTATTCAGGTTATAGAGGACGGCACAAGCTAGACTCTAGGATGACTAAATTAGGCAATCTTGCGACTAGTATACTACTTGTTAAGGCCGAACTGCGACTTTATTAGTCCAGTAAGCGACTACTCGAACTACTCCATCTTAATCTCCAAAACAACAAAGTGAAAGCCGCCATGTTGTTGAATAAGAAAATATTTCGTTCCTAAAATAGCAATTCCTGCTTTTTGAATACATTAACTTGAAATATTTGACCCTAAAAAACACGCGGAAACAATTTTTTCGACTGCGAATAAATTATTCTCATTTTACTAAAAAAAAAATTCAAGAAAATTTTTAAAATTTCTTTAATTTTAAGGCCCATTAGTATTTTTCAAAGTAGAAACAATACATTTATCAATAAAGTTGTTTGCGTTTAACTTTTTTGCCTTGGGTAACGAGTTACAGAGTCGGTTAAAGTGTTTCAATAATTATGATCTTCAAACATCCTCCACACTTAAATACTTATTTTGTTTTGTTTTCCTTCACTGCCATCTAACATATGTCTCTAACTAAATCATAAAAATAATATTTTTACTATAATTATCCCAATTTAGGATAAAACGCGACTTAGACGCCATATTAGTTTTGTATTTCTGTGAATTAGGATTTTAAACAACGTTGCAGTTTGTACTAAATTAGGCTTCTAGCCAACGTCGGTATCCAACGTCGTTTCGACCCAAAAATTATTCTCCAAACTAGTGCAGACTAGGGTTGGCACGAGGTTGTGCCGACGTTGCGCCCCGACGTTTGGTCGCGTGACACAACGTTGTCCCGACGTCCAAATGCTGCTTGGGCAGTATGAAGGGGTGCAAGTAAAGTCAAAATAAAACAATCAGTTTAAATTAAAATAATATAAACAATCTTTATTAAACTCAAATTGGTTGAGAAGCAGCCGTAAAGTCTTGGCTCAAGGGTTTCGCGCAAAATGGCGGAGAGTGCGGGGAGTATTCGGGCTAGTACTTTCTAGAAAGCGAGGCTTTCTGTCGAGGTTTTACCTTCGGAGGAGCAGAGCGGAGCTGTTGTCTATACACCAAACCAGGTACCAAGCGACTGACGACTTTTGATTTTCTAACGGTACTGCTCTCGTCTACAGGAGTGGGGAAAGCAGCACACAGTGGGGACAACGGCGCGCGCCCCATTCCCGCGAGTATCGATCGATACGAACCAAGACTCTACTACTTACTTTTAACAAAATAATTATTTTATGAATAATTTGATAATTAAAAGCTAATTAATTTAATCACTACAAATTAATTATCACAAAAACTAAGTAACATCGTTACACGGTCTCGCAACAAAAAAAATATTTTTACTACTAATAAAACAATATACTATTTTACAGGTAAGATAATTCTATAACTAAAAATTTTCAAATGCATTATTTAGTTCATAAATAAATCTACAATTTTTCTGTATATACACATACACATCAGTAAACCAAAACACGTAAATAGAAATACGAAGGAACGACCTAAACACATTTGCTTGCCAGTCTGTTGTTTTAACCGTAAATATTTGGAAACAAAATTTCATAGACATTCACAAACAACTTGTTTTTTACGAATATATAATATTTCTTTTGTATTACTTAGTATGCTCGCTAATATGAAAGTGACAGATGCACAAACATGCCCATGGAAACACGGCGAGAATAACAATCAGGCGCGTGAAAATATTCTTAAGAAGAGTTTCGGAAAGGGGGGGTCGATAAAATCAGAAACTAGTCCGAATCAAGTATTATCTTACACTCACCGAAATTGAAAAGATAGTTCTATAATATTTCTGTAACAGTCTGAAACAAATAATTAGAATGACTAAAAGGGAAATATTTAAAAAAACGCAATTGAGAGGGACATTTTTAGAGGGACAGTAATGTGCCGACTCGTGTGCGAGACGTACTGGGCTTGATCCTCAGTCACTACTGTCGCTTTTTATTTGTTTTAATAAATATATCCATTTATCTAAATAAAGCAATTGACTATACTAACTAATAAAGTGTTCACATAATCTCCCATTCACAGCCAATCAATCCCCAACTGATTGTAAAATTCACGCCTCGCAATACGAAGTGGTTAAGAGCATCTTTTTCCCACAGAGATGTCGTTTTCAGTTGATCTAAATTTTTGTATTTATTATACCCATAAAGAAAGATAAAGACGGTTTTTAAGTGTGCTCTACAGAAAGAAGTCATTCGGCGAAAAATCCTGTGGTCTTTTTCTACTGTATCTCCAATAGACAGTAGTCAGTCATGATACAAAGAAAACAACGTCACTACGTCATACAAAAATATCCATATTGTTCAATTGCCACTAATAAAAAAAGACCTAAAATAGAAAAGAATTAAGACATAACCTCAAAAGTTATGTCGAATCATTGAGCTTTACATTTGAAAAGTAATTTTCATATTTATTACATGTCATCAGTATGACGATTTGGAATTAGCGCGCGGAACGAGCTGACCAATAGCGCCTGTTATCACCGGTGACGTAGTGACCAACCTGCGCAATATCATACCTTATTTTCTTTGTATCATGGTAGTCACTGTTATACAACTATAAAGATATACAGGGTGGCCCATCGAAAACGTTCCGCAAGGCATAACGGCCAGGGTAATTTTTTTTTCAGAAAATTCAAAAACGCGTCAATTTTGTTTGTGAGGGAGAAAACTTTTGCCCCAAAAATGATTGCAAAATCTTCAACTCTTCTTCTTCTTCTTCTTCTTCTTCTTCTTCTTCTTCTTCTTCTTCTTCTTCTTCTTCTTCTTCTTCTTCTTCTTCTTCTTCTTCTTCTTCTTCTTCTTCTTCTTCTTCTTCTTCTTCTTCTTCTTCTTCTTCTTCTTCTTCTTCTTCTTCTTCTTCTTCTTCTTCTTCTTCTTCTTCTTCTTCTTCTTCTTCTTCTTCTTCTTCTTCTTCTTCTTCTTCTTCTTCTTCTTCTTCTTCTTCTTCTTCTTCTTCTTCTTCTTCTTCTTCTTCTTCTTCTTCTTCTTCTTCTTCTTCTTCTTCTTCTTCTTCTTCTTCTTCTTCTTCTTCTTCTTCTTCTTCTTCTTCTTCTTCTTCTTCTTCTTCTTCTTCTTCTTCTTCTTCTTCTTCTTCTTCTTCTTCTTCTTCTTCTTCTTCTTCTTCTTCTTCTTCTTCTTCTTCTTCTTCTTCTTCTTCTTCTTCTTCTTCTTCTTCTTCTTCTTCTTCTTCTTCTTCTTCTTCTTCTTCTTCTTCTTCTTCTTCTTCTTCTTCTTCTTCTTCTTCTTCTTGGCGTAGAAGTGCTTTACTTTTATGCCTAGGCGTTAAAACGGCTTTTCTATATTGTCAATCACGTCGCAAAAATTAATACTTTTGTGATGTTTGAAAAAAAACTTTTTTTATATTTTTTTTTTAATATGATTTATGAATTAATATGAATTTGTTTGATTTTTATCAAATGGAATGTGTATTAAATGCCCTATATCAGAGCACTATTTTACCAAAAATCGACATTTCGGGTAATTTTGATTTCTGTCTATTTTAATTCGGTGACATTTTCTTTGAGTTGCCCCAATATTTTTGGGTAATTTTCTTTTTGGTAGTACAATTTTCTTAAATCCGAAACATTTCCCCAAAAATAGGTAAACCCATTTTAGATGCTATTATTTGTTCTATTTTACATAACTATTCAGTTAAACCTTGGCTAATGGTCCGGCAGGCAAATGAAAGTGTGGGTTCCATGGGACCTATGCGGTCCATTAAAGCGATGCTTTTGTTAGTCCCATAGGGTCTTCCTGGCAGGAAACGTGTTAATTATGGATGATAACTTACTATATTGTATAGAACAGACAATTTTTAATACAGGGTATAAGTTTCATTTTTATTTCCAAATAACTTCTGAAATAACGTCAATATTTGGATGAAAATTAGTGCCTGGGAGTTTTTTGATATTAGAAATTTGATTTTGATATATTCTCCTACTTGTAGAGGGCGCCATGTAAATATTTTTTAACTGGTTGAAGAGTAAATAACTTTTCGTCCAGCCCTTTCGCTATACCATAGTATAAAACTACTGAGTAAAAAAATATAGATTTACGACACGTTTTTTAAACAAAAAATATCTCTTGCTATAAATCGTTACGAGTAATGTTTCTCGAGATATTTGGAATCGGAATTATCAATACATGTGGTTATTGACATATAGTTATTAGACTGAAATGATAAATTTAAAATGATTTTGTGTCCAATGTTGATCCAAAAATGGATCATCCAAATATAAAAAGAAAATATAATACTATCATATAATAAGCAAAATAAAAGTAATTTGTAATGCGATAATTTTATTATAAAGAGTGCTTATACATATTATTCCATTCATTCCGATTTATTTTTTTCCAGGTGGGTTGGGTAAAAGCTGATACAAAAGCAATACAAGCCATTCACGATCATGTAATAACACATAATCCTAGAGTATCTGTATCACACAATGACCACACAACGTGGAATCTTCACATCAAGAATGTTCAAGAGGAAGATCGAGGACAATACATGTGCCAAATAAACACAGATCCAATGAAAAGCCAAGTAAGTCATATTATAAACTATATTAATTCAGTATTGACGGATAACAAATGAAAAATGAATAAAACCTAAATAAATGTCCTAAGCATTTGTGTTAAATGTGAAGTAACTTTGAATTGTATTAACGGTATCTTATCATCATGGGCGCCGGACAGGGGGGGCAAGAGGGGGCATTTGCCCCCCCCCCTGGATCACTGAAACAATAAAAATAAAAGCTATATCTTCTTACATCCATCTGTAAAAAAATAATCATTATTATGAAATTGTTAGGTGTTACCTGTAAAAAAATAAAAAATGTGGTAATTATTGGGAAAACTGGAAATCGTCCGATTTTCACCAAAATTGGTATACACACTATTTTGAGGTCGTAGATTACGAATCTACTTTTTTCTTGGCGGTCTCTTACTGTTTTTCAAAAAAACGGAAAATTATTTCAGCATTGAATTTTTCTTTATTTCGGCCCTATAAAGTAATAATTTCACTATATTTTCATTATATTATAGTTTATCTAAAAGCTACACTTGATTGGGGATAGAAAAGTGTCCAACATTTTACTGAAAAACACTTTTCTTAACAAAATAGCAAAGAAAATTGAGACCAGATGGAAGTTTGACATTTGATATATCCTTCTTTCTCTCTCCTATGTAATAAGAGAGACAAATATATTCTAGACCTAATCTAGAAATTTGAAAATTTACAACGTTGCCATATCTTCTATTTTTTCGGGTGATTAGGGATTTTAAATAAATTACCTATTATGAGATCGACAATAATTAAATATACACCTATATCCACAAAATTACGCGGAAGAGTTTTGATTGCATTGGTTTTAACTTCTTTGCGGAGGGGGTTAATCTTTTTTTAGTTAATCTAATAATATAACAACAAAAGATTAACACCCTCTGCATGGAAGTTGTAACCAATGCAATCAAAACTCTTTCGTGCAACTTCGTGGGTATAAATAGTCAGATCTCGTTGGTAAAATAGCAGTTATGGGAAGGAGCCGTTCTTCTGGCGACCGCCTTTCGTAATTCCAGAATGAGCGAAAAAAACACGCTAAATTTAGGTTTAGCATTGGCAACGTTGCTTTAAATGCCAGAAACACATAAACTTACTTCGGGTTTCTCTTATTACCGATTCTGAACCGTCCTAGAACTGTGATGCGTATGCGCAGAAGGAAATATGAAGACATTATTTCATTTGCGCATGCGCTGCAGAGTTCTTGGACGGTTCAGAATCGGTAATAACAAGAACCCGAACAAAGCTATAACCTAACATTTTCAGATTGTTTACAAATTTATTTTAGCATATTTTCCTCTATTATGCATAGAATTGGTTAAAAAAGTAACAGAAAATAGTAAAAACATTATTGATTATTGAATACCTAACAAAATATGTGTAAGAAAACCTTAAAAATATGAGAAATTAAGAAAAATTCGATATCGAAATTATTTTCCGTTTTTCTGAAAAACGGTAAGAGACCGCCAAGAAAAAAGTTCAGATTCGTAATCTACGACTTCAAAATAGGGTGTGTATACCAATTTTGGTGAAAATCGGACGATTTCCAGTTTTCCCAATAATTACCAAAAATGTCAATTTTTTATTCATTTTTACCTTGCCCCCCCCCCTAAATTTCATTCTTTCGGCGCCCATGCTTATCATAATAGGAACATTTAATATTTTTCAGTTTTGCCATGAAAAGCTTGATTATGTATCAAGGAAACGCATATAATAATAAGTATTTTAAGACCGTGATTGCGTACCGAGGCTGGAAACGTACCTTGGCGCGAGAGTAGCGTCTGTGACGTCAGAACAGCGCTGTCGGGCTGCGTGTATTATTTGATTTCGTTGTACGTAAGTTCTGAGATGTGTCGTATTACATTTAATTAAATCGTTTAGCCGTGATAAATTAATGTAATATGCGTACTAGAAAATAGTGGTTTGTACTTCTATGTGAAAATACCACCCAATTGACGCATGATAATGTATTTTTGTGTTCTAAAGCTTCATTCAGAACCTCCTCAAGTAGGATTTTCACGACTTGCGACCACATGTTTACTAAACACAACTAGTTACAAAAAATAGTTAGCTCCGTACCTTGGGTATTAAAATAAATGTAAACGTTGTTGTAACGTTGTGCCGACGTTGAACTAGTACTACAACAAAGTAAAACTTCTGCGACGTCGAATAAACGTCGTCTTGTAACCTTTTTTGCTTAAGTGATCTTTAGGTGATTCGGACAACGTAGTTACAATGTTGGGCAATAAAGAGTTTTCCGACGTCACTTTCAGGACCTGTTCCAACGTTATGCAAACGTCGTCTGTTTTACTAATTCCAACCTTGTTTAGATTTCCTTACTGTTACGTTGGTAGGACGTCGAGTCACTACCTTTTTGCAACAGTATTGAACCATAACCTTAAATCTTAAATTTTCACTTCATTGTTCTGTTCAGTCAGACAGTTCAGTGCTGTTTTTGTTTTTATAAAAAAAAATTAAAATGGGACGTAAGAAAGGCACATATAAAACTAAATTTAAATATACATCGACATATTATCGATACTTTATCCACTCCCTCGTTTATTTAGAATATAGAGGGCGGCACAAGCTAGACTCTAGGATGACTAAATTAGGCAATCTTGCGACTAGTAAGTTACTTAACTTACTACCTGTTAAGGCTGAACTGCGACTTTATTAGTCCAGTATGCGACTACTCGAACTACTCCATCTTAATCTCCAAAACAACAAAGTGAAAGCCGTCATGTTGTTGAATAAGAAAATGTTTCGTTCCTAAAATAGCAATTCCTGCTTTTAGAATACATTAACTTGAAATATTTGACATTGAAATTGAATTGATATTTGAAAAATATTGAAAATTAAAAGAATAAACATTTGTTTGTTTATTCTATAAAATATCAATTTGGTCAGAAATAGAATGAAGGGTGCTCGTATTTGCTCGTATCAATACAACTGGTTACCCATATCTTGAACTTCTTCTTCTTCTTCTTCGAGTGCCATGTCCTCAACGAACGTTGGCTATCATATTGGCTATTATAATTTTGTTGGCAGCAGCCCTAAAGAGTGCTGCACTTGATTTTTGGAACCAATCCCGCAAATTTCGAAGCCACGATGTGCGTCTACGACCCGGAGGTCTCTCTTACCCTCTATTTTACCTTGCATGTAATCAAATGGAGGACGTTGTATCGTTCAGGTGTCGAATAACGTGCCAAAATATTCTAACTTCCGGATCTTGATGTTTTATTTATTTCGGGTTGTTTGGACAAGCGACTCAAAACTTCCCCTCATTACGAACCTTGTCAATCCAACTTCTTATCCGCAACAATCTCCTATACACCCACATTTCAAAGCCTGGGTTTCTTTTTATGAAATAATCTCTGTGAGTGTCAAGTTTCCGCCCCATAAAGTAAAGTGAAAATATGGCAGCATCTTGTAAGTCTTAACTTTAGTTCTATGTTAATATTTCGACTACATAATACTTTCTTCATCCGATAGAATACCGATCTAGCTTTCTCTATACGTTTGCTTGATTTCCTTGCTCATATCCCAATCGTTGCTAATGTATTTAGAGCCCAAGTAGGTGATATTATCAACTTGCTCAAGGTCGACTCCATAAGCTGTTACTGGTATCGGATTTATAGGATGTTTACTTTCAACGGTCATAAGCTTAGTCTTTGAGTGTTAAGATTTAACCCATACTCATCGCATGTACTTGTAACTCTATCCAACAGCAACTGCAGTTCTTCCGGACTACTGGCTAACAAAACGATTATCGTCAGCATATTTTAAGTTGCTTGACATGTTAACTCCATTCACTTTGACACCGCCATCGATTTCCTCAGGCGCCTCCCTGAAGATGAATTCAGAGTAAAAGATTAAAAAAAGTAGTGGCGACATAATGCATCCCTGTCGCACACCTCTACGGATTGCTATTGTTTCCGAGGTATTTTTTGCCAATTTTAACACTTCAGTTCTGCTGATTCCAATAAAGGTTTCTAATTATTTGAGGAATCCTTATCATCAATGCCCACTTCCGTAAAATCTCAACCAATTTATCATGTTTTTTACCCTGTCAAATGCTTTTTCGAAATCAATAGCACATAAAGACAGGGTGATCGACATCTCTGCATCTTTGAACAAAGGACTTGGGATGCAAAAAATTGCTTCTCTCTAGTTCCAAGATTGTTGCGGAATCCGAACTGTGTCTCGCTAATTTGTTCCTCTATTTTGGCATATACTCTTGAATGTATAATTCGAAGGAAAATTTTTAGGACGTGGCTCATTAAACTGATAGTTCTGTAATCAGAGCACTTCCTAGAGTTTCCCTTTTTGGGGATCATTACGAATGTTGACTTGATCCAGTCAGTTGGTATAACTCCGGATTCGTATATTTTGTTAGAAAAGCGATAGTAGCTCGTATTTGCTCGTATCAATACAACTGGTTACCTTTCCGATCTTGAACTTAAAAATGGATATTTTTACCTTTTATATTGACGAAGATTTATTATTGCTTGAAAGATTATTCCAAAAAATATCCTCGAAGACAAAGCACAGAAGATCTTTTCCACTAAAATCTAATTTGGGCAGCCAACTTTTAATTTAAAAAACAAATTACTTTTTTCTTATTATAGCATGAATATTTGTAAGATTGCATTTATATAAAAAATTAAAATTCCTCTTGGAAAAATAAATATTTGCCATTGTAGAAATTTTATTTATACTGGTATTAAAAATTTTAGCAATTCATTTTTTTTATTTGTACCTAAAAGCAAAATTTATATAATCAATCAATACCTATATTATAAATAGCGATTTAAATTATAAAGAATAATACAATCACAAATAAATGCCAAGATACTTGCAGCAATACCTATCATATACAATCTATAAATATTCATTAAATTATTCATATTAATTAATTTTTCATCTGACGGAATAAAATGTTGCGTTTCTGTTTTCGTAAGAGACGACCAGTAATTACGTATTCC